AGTAGCTGGAACTACAGGCATGCACCACTATGCCCGGTTCATTTTTTGATTTATTGTAGAGATGAGGTCTCGCCAAGTTGTCCAGGCAGGTCTCGAACCCGTGGGCTCAGGCAATCCTCTCGCCTCAGCCTCCCAATGTGTTGGGATTATAGGCATGAGCCACCACGCCCGGCCTATTTTTGTTTTAATTTGAGTCGGGATCTCACTCTGCTGCCCAGACTGAAATGCAGGGACGAGACCACAGCTCACTGTAACTTGAATTCCTAGGCTCAAGTAATCCTCCTGCCTCAGCCTCCAGAATAGCTGGGGCTGCAGGCACGTGCCCACCACACCCAGCTCATTTATTTCATTTTATTTGTAGAGATGAAATCTTGCTATGTTGTTCAGGCTTGTCTTAAACTCCTGGGCTCAAGCAATTCTCCTGCCTCGGCCTAACAAAGTGCTGGAATTACAGGCTGAGCCATCACACCCAGCCTGCATCTGCATTTTGAAGCACCTACTGTATGCTCAGCTCCCAGCTAGGCCCCAAGGATGCAGAGGTCCATACGGGAAGTGAGCCATGTTGAGGATCATGTGGGGTCAGCCTGGTTTAGGCAGATGGATCCTGGGAGTTGGGTGCGGGTGGGGGGCCTGGGGGCCTTGCCCGGGGCCTTAAGCCTCTTCGGTGATCCTTGAAGCCAGCAGCTATCTACCGGTGGCTCCCAGCTTTGTCTGGCCCTGGTCTGGATGCCGCCCAGGAAGGGACATTCTCTGGGCTGGGGTTGCTCCTATCCCACGAACCCAGAGAAGGGAGGTCAGTCTCTCCACATCACACAGCAACTCAGTGGCTGTGTTTTGCCCGGATCCACCCTGCATGACTGCAGCCCAGACTGCACCCCGAACACATTTCACCCCAGGTCAGGGGCTGCCCTGACCTCTCTACGCACCTCAAGCCTCCCTCAACCACTTTCTCCCAGAGCCCTGCCTCCACCCCGGGGGCACAAGGTCCAAGCAACAGCCCCCAAAACCCAAAACCACGGAGCTGCTTCAGTACTCTCCTGTTGAGGCTGCAGCCTCTCCCCACCTCAATCCTGCCAGGAGCCCACTCTCAACACCCCGTGCTGGGGATGGGCGCCCATCCCACCCCTAGAATCTCAACTTCCACTGGGTGCCATGGAGTCCAGGGACCCAGCCTGCCCACCTCCCCAGGGACTTCCCTCACTCCCCAGTGGCCTCGGGCCCCTCCATCTTTGCAGGAACACATCCCACCCCCGGCCCTTAGCCACGTTTCCTCCAGGACCTGGTCCTTCCAGGCCACGGGAACAGGAAGTCTTCGCCCCACTCCTGCAAAGGACCCTGACCTTTCTCTCACACAAGACAGGGGTCCCACATCGGACCGCCCGGGAATTGACCTTGAAAGTCAGTGGCCTGAACAGATACGGGGCCGGGGCCACGAACCCGGGACTGAGTCTCCAGGCTGCAGGGAGGTCCCACCCGACACCTCCGAGCCCCCCTGGGCCCCACGAGGAGGCTCTGCCACGAACTTGGGAGCGACCTTGGAAGAGCCCCGGCGCCCCGACCCAGCTGCGCTGCCTTCCAAGAGTCCGCCAGCCCGGCCCGGAGGGGTCCCCCCTCTGGTGCGCCCCCGATTTTACTCTGACGTGTACATCCTGTCCCCCACCCCCGCCTCGTCTCACCTGCGCTCCAGCCGAGTGGAGAGGAGTCGTCGGCGCTGTCCCGCCGGGACGCTCAGCCGCCCACCCCTCACGGCCCCCCACCCCAGGAGAGACCCCCGAGGCCCTCACCCCT